TATCTGGTACAACTGGAAACATATTTTATTTCCCAGTGTCTTAAGAAAAGACCTCATCTACCTTAATTTTTTAAAAAATAGCTAAGCAAATAAATAAGCATCTTGATTTTAAACAGCACGAAAAGGCAAGCAGCAGCCATATTAATCTTTGCAAAGGCTGGTTGATTCACTTCCTTGATAACAGGCACCAGTTTCGACAAATCAAGGCTGTGTCTCTTCAAGTTTTTCCCTGCGTCTGTCCAAAGCGCAGACCAGCAGAGCCCGTCTGTGCAGCTCCTCTCTTCATACCTTACCCAGAGAAGGGTTGGGACTTCGGCATGGAAGTCCAGGGCTTCCTTTGCACTGTCTTAACTTATGTGATTTTAGTCTCTCTCTTTCTCTCTCTTTCTCTGTCTCCTTCCTGATTTGGCTGCTTAGGGACAGACAGGTAATGGAGAAGAAATTGAAAGGGAAAATACAGGGAAAATGTAAATGAAAAGAAGTTATTATAACTGTTATAATGAAGTGCCTTTCATTTAAATATAAGAATGTAACGCTGAAATGAACTTGTGATCCTGAAATGCATTTTTAATGAGTTTCCTTTTTATTTTGCTGCTTCAGTGGCATATTTTAAAGACCCTTTGAAAAAAGCCACATTAAAAACCCCACCAAATGCCACAACATGCAAAATTGGATATTGGTTTATTCCAAAACTGCTGATCAGGAAGAGTGGCTCTTCAACACAAAATGTTGCAGTCACTTTATTTAAATGAGTTTGAATTTGCATTGTGATGTGCCATTCTGATTTAGAAAAAAAAAATTAGATTTTCAGATCAAATTGACCCAGCCAGTGAAGCATTAAGAAACTGGCAGGTTTAGTCTGAAAGCCTCATGTTATATCAAACCTGCAGCCGGTGGAAGTCACAGAGCGGCAGTGAGAAAACAACTTTCTCACTGAAATCTTCCTCTTGTTACCGCGTAAGATTTTTTGTTCTCACATATTTTCTCCTTCTCCCCGTAGGAGAACGCCCTTTCCAGTGCAATCAGTGCGGAGCCTCCTTTACGCAGAAGGGCAACCTTCTGCGCCACATAAAGTTGCACTCGGGTGAAAAGCCCTTCAAGTGTCACCTGTGTAACTACGCCTGCCGCCGCAGGGATGCCCTCACGGGACACCTGAGGACTCACTCGGGTAAGTGAAGGTGTGGGACTGGCCAGGGACTCCCGTCATCGCACCCCTGGAAGAGACGGGGGCGTCCATGGCCACCGAGCCTGAGAGTTCTTCTCACCCTGGGGAGGCGAGTAGCCCCGTGTTGGGTTTAACAAAGCTGTGAGCTGGCCGCAGTGTTTTAGCAGGAAAGAAATGACTAAACTCATCTCATGCTCAGGATCCTACACCAGAAGAACTGGGTTTTTTCCCATACTTCTCGGCTTCTTAGAAGTTTCTGTATTAGGGTTTCATCTTACAAGCCTTGTGTCAGTAATCCATTTCATGGAACTACGAACCTGAATTAAAGCTGATGAATGTTTTAGGGTTTGGATGGCATTTATCTGCATATAGAGATAATAGAAGGTCTAAACACAGTAGGTTTTAAGACACGAAGTCTCAAAAACCTCCAGTCTGGTAGTTGTTCTCGACCTGAAGAGTGAATATCACCTACAGCATTTAGCAGCAGTTATTTGTTGCACCTTGTTATTACAAGTACTTAGAAAGGGTGGGAAGGAGGGAGAGGGTGGGAGAGAGAAAGATAATAATCTTCAAAAAAAGAAGACTCTGCTGGAGTTTTTCAGTGTTTTGTCTCAACAGTAATACGGAGATCTGAATAAATATTTTTGAAGAGCTGCGCTTTTCCATTACCACGTACATCTCATTGTTTGACAGAAGCCATAGTCAAATACCTTCTGTGAAGCAAAACCAATTTAGCACCTTTAAAGTGCCTTTAAAAGCAGAATGTCGTCTCATCTAGTTTCTCAAGCTAAGGTGGAAACGCAGATTGTTTTTTGGATAGGAGATCTCCAAAATATATTGCTGGAACTGACACTGGTAACTTTACCTGCCAAAGTTGGCTTTGGGACCGCGTTCTGGAAAGCAGAGGGGAGCTCTCAAAGTGACATTTTTGTGTTGCACAAAACTAAGGAAATTCTTTAGCACACATATTAAGTAATAAGATCCCTATTGTTGGTCCCAGATGTCCAAAATAATTTTCATGTCTCCTATTCGGTCCTGGGCCAATTCAGGAGAGCACATACATCAAGCATTTTACCTCCCTCCCCCTTACTGTTACTGATTTTCATGGCTGCACAATTTTAAACATAATTTTTCAGATACACATGAAATTGTACCTAGATGCTTTTGGCAAACTCTGAGGATTCTGTAGCTAAAGATACAATGCATAAACTGTAGATTTTTTTGTGGTTTCCACAATTTGCAATTGACATCAATACATTATAAAACAAGTTGGATGTCTTGAGTCTGATTTTCACCTGAGAATTTGTAAATAAAATTCAAAAGTTAAGCTGTGTAACCATCTGAAATTGTGAAATGACGTATGAGGAACTACCTACGTCTGGATTGGTGTAAGACAGAAAAAATTTTGTCATGCCATTTCTCTTGAATTTCCAGAAGCAGAAAACATGTGAAATCTAACATTGTCCTAAAGGGGTTAAGCTGGGTCTGGTTACATCAGAACTGACACCCAGCTGTGGGCAGGTGTCTCTACCGACACCACCATTTGCCCTGTTGGCAGTCTCTGTGGGAGCTAGGCACTAAAGCAACTATGATCAGACCTTTGAAGGTGTCTCAGTTTCTAACTTCTGTAGATGCTGTTTTTGAAGATTTAATGTCGCAGTCCTTATCTGATGTGAATCGTCTGAAATCAGCTTGCAGCACCCACAGAATTGGCCTCTTGATGTAAAGATATACAACTAGTTTTCCATTAGTTTGTTTGTTGTTGTTTTTTTTTAAATTGACAAAATATTTCTTCAGTTCACCACAACATGGGTTTATTTTTAGGGTGGGCTTTTTTCCTGTTGTTCTTACCGCTATTAATATGCTGTTGAATACCTCATCTGAATCTCTCAATTAATTGTGTTTTCTCCAGTTGGCAAACCGCATAAGTGTGGATACTGTGGTCGCAGCTATAAGCAGCGCAGCTCTTTGGAAGAACATAAGGAACGCTGTCATAACTACCTGCAAACCATGAATATCTCAAGCAGCCTTTATTCAGGTAATAAACATGTCCATTTGGGGATTAACTCTGTCATGTATGGAGAAAAAGGAGTTCAAAAGGAACAGTAGTACCGTTTGTGGTATCTTTTGCATTGGGGAGGCACACACATACCCCATACGTATGATATTTATTCTGGATTTATTCTGTATTTGATAAATATTTGGCTTTTGTGTCATTTGTTTAGCTCAAACAAGAAGCCAAAGTAAAACTTGCGCATGTAGCAGAACACTTGCAAGAACTGGAAAATTTGAGTTCACCATCTCAAGACAGCATGACTACATCATCTCACCAACTTTCCCTTTTGCTTAGATTTCTGTATCGCAGTACTCTTGTGGATGTGTTCTTAATAAAGACTTAATATCAGTGTTCTAGGTAGGGTTGCAGAATCTTCTGCATTGCACATCTCCTGCCCTTCCCAGGCACAGCTTAAGGGGCTTACTTGGCCACTGGGACCAACTCATCTAACAGGGCTGAGCCTCTGTCTTTGATCTTACTCTGGCATTTAATTTAGCTGGTTTAACTAAGACAGTCCAGAAAGGGTAATAATTTGTTGACAGTCTTCTTCCCAACCTCCCCTTTAAAAGAAAACTGGGGGCAGGTGAGGAGCTGTTGTGCTTCCCTGAGAGACTGATCTTATGATGAAGGTAAAGGCCATTTGGAGAATATAAAATCTAAAGCTATGCTTAGGAAGAGAGCAAGCAGATACTGGGATTTGGGTTTTTTTTAACAAGATCCTAAAGATCTATATGGGATTGATTGCAGTAAAAAGCTATACAAAATCCCCTTGCACGTGCAGTTGTAGACAGAGAATGTAAGATCCAGCTTCTGTGGTGGAGTTCAAGCCCGCCCAGTAAGTTAAATTTCTTGCATACCTTTTGATCCTGTCGGTATATGTTATTTGGTTTGTCAAATGACAAAAATGGAAGGTTCTCTCGGGCCTATTTGCAATGATGCCTCATTTAATATTTTATATCTGGACAGAACCTGAGTATGTTTTTACGTGCTATCAAATAATGTAAAGTATATGCACATAATGATAGCAGTGAATACAGCTGAGATGCTTCTGGCAGACACCATGTTAGAGCAGCGCCCCTTATAATTTTATTGAGGGGCTGGAGAATGTATAAATAGAAAAGCTCAACGTAATATACAGTAGGCAGCAATGCCTATTCCTCAAAGAGGTGACAGGATTTAGAAGGAAATATTCTGTCTTGGGATTTGAATTTTCAATGTCTGGCACATGGATTTGAATGCCTGCATGTAGAACTTGAAAATCTGTGTAAATAAGGAGCTGAACTACTACTAAAGTCTAAGTAAGCAAAAATGTCCAGACGAAACTGATACTAGGAATCATAAACTTTAATAAGAAATAATACAATTTTAGAGATGGACTTTTGTTTATACCAAATCATTATAGGAGAGTTTACACTAGCTTAGGAATGACTATCTAATATCTCAGTGTGATGAAAACTTGGAGAATTCATGAATGCTTCGAAGTTACTTCTTCCTTGCATATACTGAAAGCATCATAGATATCCATATTTGATATAATAGGAGTGCTTTTGCAAATTAGAAGAAAGAATTCAAAGAATAACTTCAGGGTTTAGACCTTGTATCCTGCCAAAAAAATCACACTTAGTAAAAAAAAAAGTAGTACTCAATAAATCAATTCCTTATGTTTCTAAAAATAAAACTTTCCTGCCTTTTTCCTAGTATTTTGCATTCTAAACAATCTATTCTACTACATTGCAAACATACCATTTTGCTATGTTTACATTATTTATTTCCCTTATAAACTCAAAGACGAAAACGTAAAATGAAACAGTTGAGAAGGAGTGAGTGTCCTCAGATTTTTAGTGCCTTCTACGGTATATCTAGAAAATCAAGTAGTTATACTACCACTGTTCTCATACTATTTCATGGTGTGATATGGAGCTATTAGAGTCATGATTCAGGCCCCTTTTTTTTCCCCAGACTCAAAAAAGTTGGTACAAAAATTTGCTAGGACATCTAATTTGACATTCTGCTACAGTGGGATTGGTTTTTACAGCAGTTTTGAAGTACTTTATGCTGTATACATAAAAAAATAGCAGTTGAAAGGACCTAAACTGGTAAAAGCTTTCCATTGTCTTGTAAATCTAAGAAATATAATCGGGAAAGTTCTTAAATGTGGGAAAGACCCAGCACAGAGGAGTAAGGAGGGGAACAAGAGATTATATTTATATTTTAACTTTTGTTTGCTTTCTTTAAAAGAAGAAGATTCAGCATGAAATTAGGAACCTGCTGAATCTAATGGCAAAATTCTTTTTTTAGAGGACTAGAATCTCACTGTTCACGTGAAGTTCTTATTTTAGAGATACTAATTGGAGTTTTGCATTTGAGTTGAGTGAAGTGTGCTGAAGTCTTACCAGGCCTGTATAAAATAACAACAGGAATAGTTTATGAAGTTTAAAAGGGGTCAATTGCAATTTCTTCTGTCACCTGCGGCTTTTAATTTGGAAAGATAACTATTTTTTTTTTCAGTTCACAGACACCAAATTACAGAAAAATAGTTAGCATGTTGGTGTCAGATTTCAGGAGGTGTCAGTTGCAAAGGCTGGGAATCACTACCTAATTCAATTTGGCCAGTTTTGCGGTTGTATTTCTTTCTTTTTTTTTTTTTATAGTAAAGTTGCTATATTAAAAGTCTGACAGTTGAATACATAACTTACCCTCTCTTGAACTGATTAGAAATGGAATGTCGTTTTATCCTAAACAGATATTTCTTGATCGTTTCAACTTTTAAGTAAAATTTCAGTCTTTGTTTCCCTGTTGAACAGGCTGCTTTAAAACATTAGAAGTCTCTTCCTAAAGTGGCACGTGGAAGCCTTAGCCAGCACAAGAGGCATGGCAGTGTGTGCTTGTTCCATGATGACTAGATGCCATCAATGCCCTTTACTATCCGGCCTCTTCGTGACCAAATTCTGCCCATATCTTGCATTGGTCACGATGTTTAGCATCTTACGGGGCTGGGGCATAATTCAAGGAGACTCCCTGTCACTGTCACAGTCAGTGCAGTATGTGCTGCTGCAGCAGGGACTCAAGAACCAGTTTACTCTTCTGCTTGGTATTGCGGGTTGTTGCTGTCTAGGACACTTCAACTCTTCTTTCCAGTTATCCACCAGACCCTGATTTGGTATCTTTCAGGAACAATGAAACTTTCACGATCATCCTTTTATAGCAGCGGTGTATTGCCACACTAACATTGCATAGGAACAGCGTGTTCTGAACTATTGAGAAACACCCGGGTACCAGAGTAATGGGTTCTGTGAACGCGCCTCATAGCTGAAAGGAGTAAATCCAGCGATAAAACAAATTCTCAGCAGGCACAAAAGGTGAAATGTTGTGGAGTGGCTCACCTAACTGAAATAGCTTGCAGAGCCAAAGTCTAAGAAAACATCTTTTGCTTCTCCCTTTAATAGCAACTCACAAGTTCAGGAAAAATATCCATATGCTAGTAGCAGGTAAAAGTAAAATTAACCTCTTTCTCTCCTGTCTCTGACACACCACCACCACCACCCCCCCCCGCCCTGCCAAGAAAAAAGAAAAAAAAAAAACAAACCAAAAAACAGTTGTGCTGTGATCTCACTGCATATCACCTTTCCTTTAGATGCTTTAAGTCAGAAATACCTTTCCATACATTTTTCATAGTCATTGTTTTGACAGTGCATTTTCATACATCGTTTCTGCAGGAAAATACTGAAGTGAAATGTAGTGAAAGTGCAATAGTCTCCCTTTCCTAGAGCCTCACAGCTGAGTTCCTTTCTAATCCTATGGTGTCTCAGCAGCAGCAGGAAGTTGGGAAACATGTCTGAGTGTTGGAAATCAGTGCTCCACTATAAATGTGACTTTAGCAACTTCGGTTAAATTGCCATGTACAGTCTAAAATTGCATCAAGGAAGTATAGCAATATTTACAAGGGGAGAAGGGTTGGTGTAGCTTGCAAATTTATCTTCCACTGCTGGAGTTGAGAAGTTTGTCCATTGTTCCTGCTAAAGAAGCAATGATCATACAGGCGTTTCCACTGGGAGAGGTGCAGAGGGATGGGTGGGGGTGACAGTGGGAGGGCGAAAAGATGAACTGCTTCATGTCCCGTGTAATGTTAGGACGTAATTTATTCATGGAAATGCAGAGTGGCTGTAGAACAAGGGTGGAGTGACTACGTTACATACAGGCAGACGGCTTGCAGTTGCAATCTCATTTTGGTATCCTAAACGAGGGAAACACGAACATGTACATAGATTCATCACCGTGAGGGATTTTGTTACCAGGAGTCAGAATCCATCCTGTGTCTGCAGCAGTGAGCTCCTCCTTCCAGCTGGTTGGGAGCTAAAAGACATTAGCTGAGAAACAATAACCTGAAGACAATAGTTCCATTAAAATGGAACAAGCATGCCTAACCCTTCTGATGTCATTTGATTTCAGTCATAAAAGAGGAAACTAACCAGAGTGAAATGGCTGAAGACCTGTGCAAGATAGGGTCAGAAAGATCCCTCGTGCTGGATAGACTAGCAAGTAACGTCGCCAAACGTAAGAGCTCTATGCCTCAGAAATTTGTTGGTAAGAGTTAAACGTTTGCTGTCTCCTAAAAAATAAAACAAAGCAAAACCCCAAAAACAGACATCTCACAGGATTTTTACTTTTGCTTTCTGATTTTACTTGTTTTACTAAATTAGCAACATCTATCTCTATAGAAGCAGATACAGCAACGTGTCGGGGGAAGAAAACCACAACCAAACTTCTCCAGCATACATTTCTGCATGTTTAATTTTCCACATCTGGAGATCGATTTTAAGTCTTTTTCCTGTCTTTTTCTAATGCTCATGAACCAGATCGTTACAAGATCTGGATAGGCTCTTGAAGTTGCCTTAAGACCCTAAAGATAGGAATAGAAGTTTCGTACTGGAAAAGCATTTGACCATGCTTTCAGGGTTATTTTATTAATATCATGGATGACATCCAGATCTGGGCATATTGGTGTTTGTGAAAGCATTTGTGAACAGTTGAGCATAGACTGGATAATATTCTTCACCCCTTCATATACACATGTCTGTATACTTTTACAGCCCAAAATGATCAAGGAAATACATAGGTCTGAGAACAATACCTAAATGAAAAGATCCATGGGTACATTCTATATAAATGATACAAAAACTTCATGCCCATTTGCACCTAGTAGGCGTGTTTTTGTCTTAACAATGAAAAAATGGAGGCTATATGTAGATTGTTCTGTTTGGTAAGCCTGTACCAAGCAGTGGTTCGATCAGTTCTGTAATAATGAGACCCACAGACAATATTTTGTCAGCTATGTAGAGTTAGTCTTAAATGAATAAAAAGATGGGAGACAACATATACTCCTATCTAGTTAGATTCTTTTATAATTCTTTGCACATTCGTTTATAATATTAGTCTGTAGGAGACAATCAGAGAAAACGGAAGTCTTTGGGAAAAAACCCACACATTAAGAAGGTCATCAGTCAAAAATCGAAGCAAAAAGACCAGTTTATGGGACAGAAATTCCAAATATACATTCTTCAATGAGGACACAAGGGTGAAAGAAAATTAGTATTTCTGAGATAAGGAAAGGGGAATCTCAGCTACATCAGGAGGTGCAACAAAAGGTTTGAAATGAAGTCCAGGACTGTCTTCAAGTCCAAAGGCAACAGTTCCAAGAGGCAGTCATGGATAAGAAATGCTTATGCTTATGAAAGGACAAAAGTTATAGCAGAGATAGTTACCAAAAATATATCAGCTATATGAGGCAAACCTGATTCGTTTAGACACTCTGGTAACTGATTGCATTAGGTGAAATACTAATTCTGTGAAAGCTCCAGGAAGACCAGAAGTGTTGCAATTTAAAAGGCAGGTATCCTATGTGCGATGTATCCCTGGGTGTGGACTGGCTTTTTCGTTCTCCTTTTCTCTCTTCACCCTGAGAAACAGTAAAGACAGCCAGTTTAACTATGAGTTTTAGGAGGGCAGAGTTTCCTGTCAGTTAGTTATTCAGGGTGCAATGTAGGAAGACAACCTACTGACAGCAGATATTTATGGAAATTTGCTAGTCTTCAAAAGGATGAACTTTTCTGACAAGAAAATGCCCCCAAATCCTTTCCTTTCCAAGCCTCACCTGCTGCTTCATGTAATAGGTAAATTCCTGATTAACACAAGGTTGGGCCAACTGGTCAGGAGAGCTTTTGGGTAATAAAGCATGTTTATTGCTCCTGTAGATTACCGTGTCATCCCAATCCCCATGCTGAATTCCAGGGAGAAGGAGCAAATGGCATCTTTCGCATAAGGGAGAGACTGCTGTTTCACTCGTTGTTCTCAAGGCTAAATTCATTACCTTTCAAAAGTGAGATTGTTCCCCAAATTAAGCCAGTTATCTGTAAAATTCTCTACCTGTTCCAAACTGGAATAGCTACCAGACCTGAGCAGAACTGAGCCATCCAAACTACGCACTGAGAACTTCAGGCGAGGTTGACACATGTTTATCATGTTAAAACAATAGGCAGCAAAGAAAAGAGAGCGGTTTAAAAAACAAAGAAAAAAGAAGAGACAAAAGTGCCCACATGCGCTGAGTGCATTTTTACTATTTAGGCACCTGCTGCAGAACCCTGAGCAGTGCAAAGCTTGAAGTACATCAAACCATTAGCAGTTTAATTTACTTATGCTCTAATAACCACAGAAATGAGCTATTATTTTTAATGAGTGCAAGTATTATCTGCATTGCCCAGATATAGAAATGATACCTGCCTACCTCAAGTTTGTGTCTGTTTCAGACAGTTCTGCTTCGAAACAAATTTTTCTTATGAGCACTTGATCCTCCCAGTCCACCTACCAACTGGTTATGCTACATAAAGCAAATATTACCCAAGAAACAGCTATTAAAATCATGCCTTCTGGATGCCCAAAATTTTGTGTATAATGAAGACCAGTCCAACTTTTCGGTGAAATACAGTGCACACAGAATACAAACTATTTTGACCTTGTTTTTTTCCTCCTTGAGTTAAGGGTATACATTTATATCAGGACATTTTTTCTATGTATCATTCAAGAGTCTTTCACAATGCCTATTTGGAATCTTAAGCCTCAAACTCTGCCTGAAAACTACAGCATTAGACTGGACAAATCTGAAAAAAAAAAAAAAAAAAAAAAAAAAAAAAAAAAATGCACCCCAGTAGATGTGTGCTCAAATTAGCAGAATAACAGGGAAAGGAAAGAAGAGGAAGTAGAAGCTTGTGCAGCACGGCTAGAAGGTGTCTGTACCCTGCATCCCTTGTAGGAACTTACGCAATGCTTAGAGTGTTTCTTTGCTTGCAGAGCATGGACAAACTCGTATGAAACCGTATCTCATGGGAAATGTAGACAGCGGGACTTCCTACACTTTAGCCCCATCATTGCAATAGTGTCATGCCAGAAGTTTTCTGGGCTCTTCACTGACTTTGAATAGTCAATTTGAGTAGAAACTGGGTGGGAAATTGTTGATAAATCAATTTGAAGATGTTCTGGTAAATTTTCCTTGCTCCTATTAGCGTTACTTCTAGTCAAATTAGGACTTTCCAAGGCCTATCACCAAATGTCATGTTGATTAGGAAGTGATGACAGCACCTCTTAGGGATGTTTGTGGCTTTGAATGCATTTCCCAAGATCTGCAGAGCTAGAAAATCCATCCGGACTGTAAACAATGTGTTGTTGGTAGTCTCTAGGAACCTGTGGGAATTTTTTACCCTTTTGCATTTGCACAAATTTATTAGGAGCCTGCTAATAACACTGATGGTTTACACTGTTTGAGAAGACTGTTCAGGTTCATAGAATCAGCATCTGTGCTTTTAAATAGTTTCTTCCCCTCCTAACTTTTACCTTCTATGTTTTGCTTAGATATATCTCTCCAGAAATTTTGAGAAACTGTAGTGAAACTCAGCATTCAATACTAGCGTATCCAGCCAGAGATACATTAGTGCAGTCTGATTTTAAAAAAAAATTGAGTCCCCCCTTACTTTTGGCATCCCAAATCAGAGTCGAAGTTACAAGTAAAAAGTAATCTTACTCTATATAGGGCTTTTTACCTCGTAGGAAAAATATATTCCAACTACAAATGCACTTAATTTTTTTCCATGGTTCTTGGCTGCTCCTGATGATAACTTTTTGACACAAAATTTCTAGGAACATGAGTAGCTTCTGGTAATGCGTCTAACACGGCTTATTTAAAAAACAAGGTGTGGGGGGGACGTGGCAACATGAAAAGTTAAGTTTTTGTTGATTTTTCTCCAAAATGGCATACAACCACATTGCTGATGTGGGTTATTTGTAAGAGACTGAAGGTCTGAAACTAAAACATACAATTTCCAGTTTAAAATTGGAATATTTTAGGGAAAAATATTGATAATATGCTTCATGCTCTGAAGCATGAAGGCCAGGCTCACTGTAACTGTGCTGGTACATGGCCTTCACTAACCACAAAGGCCTCAGCTCGCTGTAGGAAGCTGATGAGTTTCTCCAGTTAGAAAGGAGAAAGAGAGGGTGAAGCACTCAATCTGTAGCTCCCACAAGTCCCCATATAATTATTTCCAAAATCTGTTTTCATCCGTTTGCTTTTCTAAAGACCTCAAAGACCTTTTTGTGGGCTAAAACCACCCCACCAACCATTTTTCTGACCAGCTGTATTAAAGAACTATGAATACTTCAGGTGAATTTCAGAGGTGGATTTGATCAACTGTTTTCTTCCATGTTGCTGTTTTATTAATCCATGATGTTTGGTACCTTAATTATGTAGAAATCAACTCTCTAACTCCTGACTCCTTTTCACTGCAGGTGAGAAGTGTCTGCCTGATCTTCCATACGATGCCACCACCAACTATGAGAAGGAGAATGAGATAATGCAGACGCACGTTATAGACCAGGCCATTAATAACGCCATCAGTTACCTGGGGGCAGAGTCCTTGCGTCCCCTTGTCCAGACACCACCAGGTGGTTCTGAGGTGGTGCCCGTCATCAGCCCCATGTATCAGCTCCACAAATCTCTCGGGGACAATCAGGCTCGCTCCAACCATACCGCTCAGGACAGCGCAGTGGAAAACTTGTTGCTGCTTTCCAAAGCCAAATCTGTCTCCTCCGAACGAGATGCCTCTCCCAGCAACAGCTGCCAAGACTCAACAGATACAGAGAGCAATAACGAGGAACGCAGTGGTTTAATTTACCTGACAAACCACATAGGTCCCCATGCAAGAAATGGCATCTCTATAAAAGAAGAAAACAGGCAGTATGATGTCTTGAGGGCAGGTACTGACAATTCCCAGGATGCTTTCAAAGTGATCAGCAGCAATGGGGAGCAAGTGAAAGTTTACAAGTGCGAACACTGTCGAGTCCTTTTCTTGGATCACGTGATGTACACGATCCATATGGGCTGCCACGGGTTCCGCGATCCTTTCGAATGCAACATGTGTGGCTACCATAGCCAGGACAGGTACGAATTCTCTTCCCACATAACTCGAGGGGAGCACCGCTTCCACATGAGTTAAAACTCCTCCGGCACAGATCTCGCCTCAACAGCTGTGTTACTGGAGCTGCACGAGCCACGACAGCAACAAAGCACAAGTCAGCTGGACAGTAAAATGAACACGAGAATCAAAAGTTCAGCTATCTTCTCCCACAAGAAAAGATTTTTCCTTTTTGGTAGCATGCATTGCAACTCAGTTTTCTAAAATGAGTACTGAAGTTTTTACTGAAAATGTTTGATCACCAAAAACCTTTAGTAATGTAAGTAGGAGCTTTTGTAGTCACATAGCTGAAAGCCCTTCCCTTAACTGATGCTTCTTGCGAACCTCCCTCGCCAGAACTGTTAACCATGCACAGGATGCACTGCGCGGAGCAGGACGGGACAGGCAGGAGCGGCCGAGGCTTCCTTCCCAACACCCTGAGCGTAGGGCTCTTAAATCAGGTGTACGTTTGGGTTTTGACTTCCTGGTGTTATCTGACTCTTCTGGGAAGATAAACTCAACTAAAGACGGAGGGGCCCCTCCCAGATGACTTCACAGGCAGCTGGGGTGGGACGGGCCCACCAGCCAGAGGGTCCTGGGTTGCTTTGGTGGTAAAAAGTAGAACGTTTCCCCCTGCAAGGGTGCTGCTGGTATTGACATCGCGGCAGAGGCCTTGTTTGTGTCACTAGGCAGGCGGGCAGGTCTGTGAAAGAGATAAGAAACACCCTTGTAATATACTTTGTGAAGTATGAATTGCATTTAATGTATAGAAAAAGGGTATTGTCGGCTCTTGTTTCAATAAATGTTTTCTCTCCCTGTCCAATAAACCCCCACTTTTCATTAAGAAACCCCTCCTCTCTCTGCATAAACAAGTTACGATGTATTTAATTCTTCTTTCCTTCTTTTTTAAGTTGTAGTTATTTAGAAAAGTATGATGTACAGCTGAGAAAAGCACTAGCTAGAAATACGTGTGGGGAAAGTCTCCTCATGCACATTTTTCATCTTTTTAAACTGCCTTGAAAATACCCAAATGTCCCTCTCTTACAAATGAAAAAAACAATCCCATTTTGCTTGCACAGAAGACGTCCTCTTGTAGATTTTGTGGCTCTACTCATAAGTGTTGCACTTTTAATTATTTTTAAAGCACTGAGCTGAATTAAACCAACCAGTCAAAATCCGTAGCCTTTTCGCTGGCACTTGCTCTTTAATGAGGGACCAACCCCCGCCAAGGTGCTGAGCAGCCTGGCTTCCTATTCAACAAATCATTTCACCATGTGCTTTACGTTACTTTTACTTCAGCTTAACTAATCTTAAGGTTAAAAAAAATGGTGTTTTCCTTAATGGTGACCAGAGACTGCAGTGCTTTGCAGAGGGCAGCAAAATCCACAAAGAGCTCACTCCATGGCAGGTTCCGCTGCAGATACTGTAACTTCAGTTAGAATGAAAACTTCTATGAAGAATAGATTTTAACCCCAAACACAGCTGATGTGAAAAAAGTATTTTTTTAAAAAAATCTTCTCCTTAACTTCCTCTTCCAAATAGTTCATTCCTCTCCCTGAACACCCTCGTAATTTAAGATTGGCCAAAAAAGAAATTTTTGCAGCTGCATAAAAATCTGTCATTGGTGCTGCAATACTTCCTGGGCAATGTTTGTAAAAATAACCCATCTTATTAACCTAGTGTATAAATACTGCCACTCTGCATAATGAATGGATATTCTCCAATAGACACAATCATATATCCAACAAGACTGGCAGTCTTGTCATACAGTTACACATTCTCCATGCACAAGTGCGTGCAAGCATATATATTTATTACAAAAGAGATTCGAGGGAACCATGAATGCTTGTACCTAGGCCAATTTGGCCTGAGATGTGTAGCTATATTTGATATACATTTCCTATATACACATACTATTACAGGCGTGCAGAGTTCCTTCTTCTGCTTTCACTTTTGCAGGTGTAAGTTAAGAGCACCAACACTGAAGTTAGAGGAAAGATACTGGTGAAATAATGAATTACCAGTATATGCTTTTCCAATCTCACATCTTAACTTCTCACGCCAAGTGTAAGAAAGGCACTTACTTTGTATGACCCGTGGGCACAGTGGTGTTTTTACACCGAAAGTGCACACGTGTGTGCCCGTTTAGTAGCTCTGCCACCAGATGTGAATGCTGTGTGTGACCATCCACAGACCGATGCGTATACCCACAACAGTGAAAAAAAATCACCAGTATGAGTTAGGTAGGCTGGGGCACGCAGGATGGCCCATGACTCCCCCAAAAAATGAGGATTGTAAAGCAGAGGCCCAGAGGTGACCTCCCCGGCTCGCGCACTGTAACTCCGTTGCCTTAAGAGACATTATAGTATGTCACCTTCCAGCCCGGGGCACTGCAGGGGGTGGGCACAAGGAACCCTCATGCCACAACCACGGCTGTCTCACCGATGTCTGCCACACGTTCAGCTTCAAGACAGACTGTACGTGGCACCAGTGAAATATTTTGTATAGGAATGACCTGAAGAAGACCTTCAAGGGAGGAGCTTGAAGTGATGACTTTCCTTTCTTTCTTTTTTTTTTTTTTAAATAAAGTTGAAACGGGTTCATTTTTTCATAGCTGGTGGGGATACGTTCAGCTGTTTTTACCCCTCTCCACTTTCGATTGATACCAACCAAGACGGGACAAAGTAATTTCCCAGTCCTGTTTCAGTGTCCTGTGAGTAGTCAGATATTGGCTGTACAGAAATGGGCTGCTTTTATTGCTCTTACACCTCTTTCCCACTGATCTTAGATTTAGGCCACTATACACCCCATGCCGTATTTTTTTTAACCCTTCATTTTAAGACACCCCATGCTATAAGGGTCGGGGGGGGGGGGGGGCAGCTTGCTCAGGTGTTTTGGTTTCTTTGCTTTTACTCAAATCCAACACAAATAAAGCCACGCTCATTGCCAATGTAAAGAAGCGTAGCTCCAGTGGAGTTTAAGGCTGCCTTGAACTTAGCTTTTACATGTGATTTCTGATTATTGGGTAGGTTCACTGCCTCTGCAACATCTCTGTGCACACACGCACGCGTATGAGTTTCTATGTCGCTTTTCTTGTCGATGTGCACATGCCCTATCTGTGGTTTTGTGTATCATTAATATTTTATATACATCTGTATATATATCCAAAATGGCTCGTATGACACAATGATGCACTGTCAGTCACGGTGGGTTTGTTTCCTGGGTCTGGAGTTCTCTTATTTATACAATAACAGAATACGTTGATGTTGTATATTAAACAGTACAGTAGTATAAGTAAGTATATTAAGACACAGTGTAACAGAGGGCATAGTCTAAAGGCAGGAACAAACAGCATTCCTGTTCATGAAGAGGCTTTTTAGGTTTGCTTTTTTCCAGTTTTTTTTTTTCTTTTTTGCACGAAATCATCTTCAATTTGTTTAGAAACAAGTGTTTCAATAATTTTATTTATGAACATATGCAAGGATGGCATGAAAACATGATATTGTGTGTGTGTATATCAAAACAAACTGTGCCCTCAGAAAACTAGTTTAGTGTAATCTCCCTTTTTCTCTCTCTTTTTTTTTTTTGCTATAGTGCAATATCCAGATATGGTTTAGCTGAACCCTAAAATGAGTAAATATGGTGAATGGCTTTAAGTTTATATCTGTTTGAAATAAGTAAAAAATAACTGCTTCCCGGCCCTTCCCCAGACATTGCCTTTTCTAATAGAAAAGTTGTATTTACCCTTTTTTTTGCTGTGTTTTTATATTCTAACTTCATTTTTCTTTAAGAACATTGTATTTAAAAAAAAAAAAAGAGCAAATTTCATAAAAATTGGAAATGTTATTATGACTGCAAAGTGAGATACATCTTTTAAGACAAGAGGACATGGTAAAAACCCCAAACCCAAACCCCAGAACATTTCTGTGACTCTCCTAGTGGGTGAAGAGGTCAATCGGTACAGCAGGAGGCCCTGTGTGTGCGGTGGTGTGGCGGTGACATGCGATGTACGGTGAGATGCAGGCAGGCAACTCCGTGGGCAGTGAGGGAGCGCTGAGCATCCTGCGTGGCTTCAGCTTCTGCTGCCGCACTTACAGCCCGCATCATGGTGAGCTCATCCCTGCTGTCCTCACCACCCATCTTCTGTGGCCAAAAAGAGTCACGCTGTGTCAGTCCCCCTGCGCCCACCAGCTGCGTGAAGTCGCCTTGCTAAGCCAGCTCCAGCTGAAGATCAAGTCCTCCTGTGCAGAGTGTGTCGCCGGCCCCAAAACTCGCACAGCTACTTGGAGCAGCTGACTTTGAGAAGGTTGCTTCCTTGCCAGCCCTCTCCTCTTACCCTTCCCTCCCACCAGCCAGCCGAAATCATTACAGAACACAATTACTTCTGCATGTAGAGTCACGGTAATTCAAAATAAAACACTGAGAAATTGTTTCTACTGTTTGCCATGACAAAGGTGATTTCTCTGCAGGTGTCCCCGTTTCCTTCAGGTTCCAGCACAGTAAATTTCACATCACATATTTAATGCAAACAACAATCACTGTTTTGCTTAGAAAAAGTACCGTTTATAAAGTTTTAGAAATATTTCCATTTGTAAAACTGTATTATTATGAACACAATGAGATTAAAATAACCCTACCAAACTCTAATGGTACTGCAATCAATTCTTTTACAGGTTCCCAAAATCTACATTTTTCCTTAAGTTCCTGTGGTAGGTTTTAATCATAAATTATGACTACTTTTCTATAAGAAGGAACCTTTTAACATCCTAATACGTTTGTTCAGCCTCACAGCTCGTTCTCAGTAATTGAAATTATCTACAAGTTTCTGTTTCAGGGGGTGACTCTCCTGCAAAGTAAATACCGTCTGTTAAATAATAATCATCATCACAAAACCAGACCTAATGTAATATTCTTAATCAATGCTAACAAATCTCTGAACTTAAGTAGAGACATCCACAAATATAAATGAAAGTTTGTGTAGCTAAAAATCTAGTCTGGGTATCTATTACGTTTCAAAGACTTTCTTCCAAATCATCGTATTTATATCTTTTCCCTGCTCCCATAGTTTCATTGAATTACATCAGAAACTGTTGTAGGTGCAAAGATATGAATTGTTATACAAACACAAACATACAACTACCAGGGGTGAGTATTTTCAGCCTCGGG